CATTGCCTCTACTGCAGTAGGTGCTCCCTGGCAGCGGCTCTCCTCCACTGGTCTTTGTCGCTTGGTTACTCACCTCCTTCCTATTCCCATTTCAACCCTGGATGGCCACTACTATCCATTCTCACCAAGGGTTTTCTTGGGTGCTCTGGCTGCAATGCTGCCCTCTAGTTATGGCTTGCCAGTATCTCATCACTGTTATGTCTTTAGTGAGGTTCCCCATCCCAGCTCCTCACTGATTCACTTCTCCTTCCCAGAGGATGGTGCCAGCTCTCAAGAGTGACATCTTTTTCACAAGTTTATGGCCAGAATGTCTTCTGGCACTCTTTGAGGTCTGGGGTCAGAAGAGCCTCTACGGTATTTAAAACTTTCAGCTTTTTTACCTGGGTCCTACAGCCTCACAACCAACACAAGCCAAAGCATTCCCCTTTTCTTTGCCCATTCTCCCCTTGTACCCTTCCCCTCCATCTACACCAGTGCATGGTGAGTCTGTCCTGCCTACCTCTTCCCTTCTCTGTCAGCTAGGCAGCATGCCTCCCATTTGGTATCCACTTCTCACTGCAGCTTGCAGCTCTTCTATGTCATCTTCTTGGTGGTCTTCATATTACTCATCTTCTACTACTGCTCCTGCTGGACTGGCCTATGAAAACTAGCTCAGGCTATATCTCTGAAGCTTCTCTATAGGTCTCTGAAAGAACGGGACACAGACCACTTCTACCAATCAATCATTTATTAATCACTACTAGTAAACATTTATGAAGTACTTATTATATTCCAGGTACTGTGCTAGGCTCTGAAGATACAAAAAAACCAACAATTGAAATAATCTCTGCTCTTAAGAAGCTTACCTATCAGGGGACGCTTGAACATGTAAATTAAGGGGAAAATGGTAGATCTGATACAATGAAAAAGATTCATGTACTGATACAAACGCGACTGAGATTAGTGTGGGGTCTGCCCTAGGTTTAGGTGTCATGTGTCCTGCCTTTCTGGGATACAGTGGAAAGGACTTCTGACTCTCCAGTAATCTTTTCAATGGTACCAATTAAACAAGGAAACAAATATTTGCCACCATGAAAGGAACAATTTGAAAGACTTGTAGAAGCTGATGAAGGATGAAATTAGCAGAATCAGGAGAACAATTAATAGAATAACAACACTATAAAAACAAACAATTTTGAGATTTCAGATCTCTTATCAATACAATGACCTTCCATGATTCCAGAGGACTGAGAATAAAGTACGTTAAAAATCTCCTGACTGGCAGGTGATGAATTCAAGGTGCTGAATAAGGCATATGTTTTCGACATAGTCAATGAAGGAACTTATTTTGCTTGAATATGCTTATTTGTTACAAGGAATTTGTTATTCTTCCTCCTCCTCTTTCTTCTTCTTCTTCCTTTTCTTCTTTTTATCAATGGGATGAGAGAGGGAGAGAAAATAAATTTTTGCTAGTTAAAAAATAAACTGTAATTTTTAAAAAAAAAGTAGAGCAATAGCATCGTCTTCTAATATGGTTAACTGCTATTTGATATACAAAAATGAGCTGACTTGCAAATAAGAAAATGATCCAGTGCCTTGAACATAGTATGTACAGAGTACTACTAATCCATCCCTCAGTAGGGTGTATACTTATCTAAGCTGTTTTGTATCATTGATGAACAGTTGTGCTGATCCATCCACATATTCTTACATCATTACCCACACAAGCTGATGACTAGCCAGAGTCAGGATTGCTGTCTATGGCTAAAGAGCAGTTTCCTATAACAGAAAACAGATGGTAAGTTATCATTTGAAAAAAGTCTTAAAAATGTACTTACTAGGTGAACTATAAATAATCCAGCTTAGGGTAATACTCCTTAGGCAGATAGGGATTTAAAAGTGCTTCTTTCTTTCCTGCCCTCCTCAACACTGGGTTGGAATAGCTCTTATAATTTATTTCAAATTCATATTGTTCTCTGTTGTATCATAATTTTATGTTCCTGCATGCAACATTTAGAAGTTGCATGCACAGGCTGTATTTTCTCCAGGTCAGAGCTCTCTTAGTGGCTGACAGAATGACAGCCTATAACCAGCATAAGAGGCCTTGTTCAGCTTTCTGAAAGGTGTGACATCTTGCAGAAGAACTAAACCTTTGAAGTTCTGCCATTGGACAATTTTCATTTTTTTCCAGGTTCTAGAATGGGAAGAGATTGAGATTAAAAAGTAATGTCTAAAAACAAATATTATTTTCAATTGAAACTGATTTGTTTCTCACCTCCAAATCTTTCCCCTAGAGACACTGTGAATGAATGAGTTGTGTCAGCATCTAATATATTCATGCTATTGCCTGTCTTAGCCTCAAGCTCAATTCAGTTGCAAGCCAGAAAAGCCTACACAGTTTGGCTGGTTTTTAACCTCATCCAGAAAAGCAGATGGTGTGGCTGCTGAAGTCTAAAGAAAGTCTTTTTTTTTTTTAATACTTTCCTCAGCTAGCATGAAATAGCACTTGAGAGGAACAAATTCTATGACTCAAACATTTCAGAAAAGAAGTCTCTCTATTTTACAATATTTTTTGCTTGTACTTTTCATTTCAACCTGTAAGTATATCATAATGGTCAGCTATTAAAGTTGATCAATAAATTGATGAACAAACTTTTATTAAGCACTTATCAGGCCCTGCTGAGGATACAATTAAAAAAGCAAGACAGTCCCTGACTTCAACAAATTTATAATCTGTTGGATGCCATTCTGAACTTGTTTGGTCAAATGTGAGAGATTATCAGTGTGGAATATTGTGTGTGTAAGTGTGCATACACATATACATATATAAATATATACACATATATGTATACACACATATACATACATACATACATACATGCATGCATACATACATACATACATACATACATACATACATATACAGTCGGACACAATTGATAGTTTTCCTATTGCCTTTTTAATCTTTGTTATAAAGGATGACCAACTGGGTAAGAGATTGGGGAGAAATATATTTAGAAATGCATGTGATAGAAAAACAAAAGGCATAAATAAAAATAAGATCAATTGTTTTCAGTGGATACAATGCTGCTGACTGGAGTCAGAACACCTAAGTTAAAACTCAGTCTTAGTCAATTATTAGCCTCTGATTGCCTCAGTTTCCTCACCTGTAAAACAGAGATAATAATAGCACTTATCTTCCTGAGTTACTTTGAGTATCAAATAAGATAATATTTGCAAAGTGATTTGCAAATCCTAAAGTACTACATAAATATTAGCTATCATTATTATACCTAGTAATATAACAAAAAGAAATCTGTACCCCAAGGAATAGTAAAGAGAACATCTTTACACCTCTTCCATAACACCTTCCCTGGTTAATCAGAGAAGAGATGGATATTTCTCCTTACCTCTTCTTAAAAGGACATAGAATTCTGTCCTTGTTCTCTGTGTCCTTGTTCTATACTTGCTTTCCACACATGAAATTAATCTGTCCTCCATATGAGATACATAAGCCTCACTGGAATTTAAGGTCTTTCATAATATGACCCCTTATTTACCCACATTTTACATTCCTCTGCTACCCAAAATAAAAGCAAATCCATTTGGAATGATCTCCTCCTTGTCCTTCAAATCTGCTTCCATGCTTTTGCCTATACTACTCCCCCAATTGGAAATGCCCTCCCCACTATCTCCCATTTGAATTCTATCATTTGAATTCCAGTTTAGCTTCCACATTTGCCGTGAAGCTTTCCCTGAAATATTACAACCTAGACTGATGTCTCCCTTCTCAGACTACCTCTAGTATTCATGGTGTGTGCCACATTTTATCTCATTATGTAGCCTATAAAACTACTTCACACACACATACTCACATAACTTGTTATATTCTTAAGATTGTGAGCTGCTTAACAATATCTTACATCATTTTCATATGGTTAATGGCACCTAGCACAATTCTAGGCATACAATAGATGCTAAATAAATACTTGTTGAAATGAATGTCAGCTTGAAGACCAAATGCTAGTTAATATCAACAGCAAAAGTTAACAAGTAAATGCATTAACTCAATCAACAAGCATTTATTAAGCAACTACTGTACACCAGATGTTGTACTCTAGACATTAAGACAACTTTACAGCTCTATTGGCAAAGATTAATTGTCAGACTTTGTTAAAGCCCTTAGTAGCTACTTTTCTTCAGTTCTTTTATGATTTCTAATCTATGAATACTGTCTGTAATTTCATTGGTGTAGGTACTTCCTCCACCAACAAAGATTGCAATATCACTATGACTTAGTAGAAGGTCTTTATGAGTTGTTGTGGATAAAAATTCATCACTCTTTATTCAATTTAAGGATGAGTCTCTTCACTACCAGGCCTGAATGCCAAGCCTTTCTGCCTTGGTAGGACCTGTCAAAGCTTGTGTTCTGTTGACATAGCCTTCAGGAACCCAAAATAACTTCCGAACCATAATGAGGCATCAGAGTAGCTCTTTTTGGAAGTCAGTGAAAATGATAAATAAGAATATTTAATTTACATAGTTTGCATTTCATAGTAGGACTAGATTCAATCAATACTACTCTAATCAGTATTAACCCAAGCAATCTCACTTAACTCACAAATTCCTCGAAGAAAAGTTTAAACAGAAGCCTAATTGTTCTAATTATTCTAATTTGCTAATTGTTCTAATCCACTAATAGTGGATTTTAGTCAGCCTTTGGTCTCTACTGCCTTATATATCTTACTTAACCCCAAGACAGAAAATAAAGGTGCAATACATGTAAAAATATTTATAGCAGTGCTTTTTGTGACAGCAAAGAGCTAGGTACAACATTCTCCATCAATTGGGAAATGGATAAAAAAACCCAAACCAACAAACTACCAAACTGTAGTATGGGAATATAAAGGAATATTATTATGTAGTATGAAATAACAAATATTAGGGATTCAGGGAACTCTAGGAAGATGAGTATAAAGCAATACAGAGTGAATGGATATCTGTTTTATGATCTTTTTATTTATTTTGTTATTTATTACCCAATTATACTTCAGTTTGGTTCCAGTCACACTCAGGCTACATGTTTCCCACCTCTGAAAAAGGAAGTCACACTGTGAGTAATGGTCCCAGAGAATAGAAAATGAAGTCTACCTACCTTCTTTAAGCCAAACAATATCAGATTGACATATGGAGTGAGTATTTTAAATGTTTTTGCTACATTGTTTTTCTTTGTTACAAGGTAAATTTTAGTGCCAATGGCTGGTTGTTAATATCTAGAAATGATGGTGATATAAAAACAAAAAATCAATTTTATTCTTTTAAATAATTAATGTATGTAAATATATTATATATAAATATATGTTGGCTGTTTTTATTTTCATTATCATCATTTCCAACAATGAATATTTATGAAGTTCATGCGTGGTACCTATTGCTATACTAAATGTTACAGTAATTTTAAAATTGGATATTTTGAAATTTAATGATATGCAAAATGGTTACCAAGTCCCTGCAATACTCACGCCAAATCCAAGATATCTTTTCCTGAACGCCAAATCCAAGATATCTTTTCCTGAACTGAACTTTCCCCTTTTACTTACAAAAAAAAAAAGAAAAGGTAAATGATTTAATAATTGGTGAGTTTACAAAGGTAAACATAGGGTTAATGTTTAGAAGAAAACAGAAAACTTATGTTGCCTTCTGAAGATCTACGCTAGGATAATGGCCATGATGAATATATGTTTGTGATGTAGTATACTCTGATAACCATGACTGTACCAGTTAAATACACTTTCCATGGGGTTTCTGGAATGCCTAGCTTAATTTAAATAGAATCATGCTGTTGGAGATAATAGCAAGCGGTTTGCACATTTCTCATTTTATAATATGGGGAATGTGAATTATCTGTCCATTGTCTTTTTTCTTACATTCCCCCTTTGGAAACTTATCTCACTAGGATAATTGGCTATTGTATTGACAACATTTTTGATAGCACATAGTATGCCATGTGATGTTCAGTAAATAATAAATGGATAATGGTCAATGTTGAACATGCTAAATTTATTATTTTCTATTTTCAATGCACCATTTTACAATGAATTTGCTCTATTAAAATACCACGACTTGCATTATATTCCTAAAATCAATAAGAAAATCTTCTAATATAATTGCTGGTACTATATAGGACACAAGTGTTCTGAGTGCTAGAACAGAATTCAGAAGGTCTAAACTCTCCTCCTCCACTAACCTCTGTGTCCTTGGGCAAAGCATTTAATTTCCATGAGCTTCATTTTCTTCATCTGTAAAACAGAGATAATGATACCTTCTCTTTGCATTGTATGTGTTGCAGGGATTAATTAGATCTTAAAAATCCATAAAGCTCTTTAGGACCTTACAAATAGATACAGTGAATACACCGACTATTATTACTTGAAGATTTTTTTTAACAGATATTCTTTATGACTTGCTGGAAGGCATCATATGTTTTAGTTAGTATTTCTAATAAAGTGTCTGTTATAGCATGTAAATGTCCTGGGTTTTTTTCATGTAAGATGTTTTATTTTACAGGTTTAAGGAATGTTTTGGGTTGAAGAAAAATGATCATTTGGAGTTTGCTTTGGCTGATTCTGACCCTGCTACAACAGAGCCATTTTATAAACTCAACAAAGTTTAAAGGTAAAAAGGATCTTAGAAATTATTTTGATCAGTCTTCTACCCAATCTAGTCAATGAAATCCCTAAGAACTACTTATTCGGCCCCTTCTTGAAAATGTTTAGTATTTAGGGTGCATACTATCTCACAGGGTAATCTGTTTCATAGATCTAATTTTTGGAAAATTTGTTCTTATACAGGAATATCCTATCTAACATTATTCATTGGACACGAAATATGATCATATACAGTATTAAGTGCCATAAGAACTCAGAAAAATGGAGCTGAAGCCCCCCCCAGATGGAAGGGAAGAATTGGGTACAAAAGATAGAACCATCATTTCAAGGGGGGTGGAGCATAGGAACCAGAGATGTTTGAAAAGGGAGCTTAACAGCAATATAGTGAAGTATATTTACAATGTTCTAATAGAAGTATTGCAAAATACTAATGGTTATGAAAAGTTTCATGTTAAAACACCTTTCATTCACCTGAATTAAGAAATGGAAAACTATAAATGAGGAATATTACACAGTCCATCCTTTGTAATTAATATATTAGTCAGTCAATGTGCATTTGTTAAGCATTTAATATGTGCCAGGCATTGTGCAAAGTGCTGGAGATACAAAGAAAAGCAAATAAATACTCCCTGACCTCAAGAAGCTCACATTCTAAGTGGGGGAGACAAATATGTATACAAGATACACAGAGTGTAAATGGAAAAAGTAATCTCAGAGGAAAGGCAGTAGCAGTGAGGGGAAGGAGGAAAGGCCTCTTTATGGCAGGCAGGCAACAAACATTAAGTGCCTACTATTCATCAGAACTATACTAAGAGCTGGGGGTACAAGTATAAGCAAAAAGAAAGCCAGGCCATGCTTTCAGGAATTTGCATTCTAATGGGGGAAGACAACACATAAAAGGTACAGAGGAATGAAAGTACTCTTAAGGGGGTAGGGTGTTGAAATCTAGAAAGTCAGGAGGAGAATGAAATTTGGCTGGCCTGAGCCCCTTCCCAAAATGGTAGCTCTCAAAAGGACTTAGCAATTGGAAAAGGGGGCCATCATGGCAGATAAACATTCCAGGGTGGAAGAGGAGGCCTTAGATGCTGAGAGAGTTTTTAGGGAGACCCTGTAGCTGAGGCATGATCTTGAAGTCTGAAAAGTAGGAAGCACAGGCAAGAAGGGAAATCTTGAAAAAGGCCAAGTGGAAGAGGCATAGATGGAGAGCTTTCCAGGGACAGAGGACAGACAGTGAAAAGGCACCAAGTTGGAAGATAGACAATGGGCCAGTGTCATTGGAGAGTATAAGGAAGGCATGGGAGAGTAAAAGGAAAGGAATAAAATATAAGAAGATGGGAAATGGAGGAAAGGGCCAGGTTATGAAGGGCTTTAAATGCCAAAAACATTTTATATTTGATTGTAGAAGTAATAGGGAGCCATTGTAGTTTATTGCAGGGATTGAGGGTTTACATAATCAGTCCTGCACTTTAAGAAAACCACTTTGGCAGATGAGTGGAGAATGGACTGGAGAGGTGAGACTTGGAGCAAGGAGTTCAACTGGAAGGCTATTGCAACAGTCCAATAGTAAAGGGATGAGGACCAAAATGAGGGTAGTGGGTTGTGTAAGTAGAGAGAAGGAGATATATTTGTGAGATGGTGTTAAGTTAGAATTGATGAGAATTGGCAACCGATTGGATTTATTGTTTGAGTGTGAGTAAAGAGCTGAGGATCGCACCAAAGATGTGAACATGGGTCACTAGCCAAAGGATGGTACACCAGACAGTAATAGGAGAGTTGTGAAGAAGTGATGGCTTAGATGTTGTTGCTTAACTTTCTTTTAAACAGAAGGTACAGTAGAGGTCAGTTATTGAATTATTTGTTGTGTGGAACACAATTCCTCAATAAAATAGTTTTTAAATGTAAGTATTTATGGCAATGTTATGTAGGTCTTAATTGAGATGAAATTCATAAACTCTCATCTACTACTTCTATTTCTTTCCTGTGGAATTATTTGGAATAAATATCACTCTTCCAGGTGTAAGCCCTTTGAATATTTGATGATTGCTGTGGTGTCCCCAATAAATCTTCTCTTCACATATAAAGTATTAGGATATTAGATGGATCCAAGGTTTCCATATAATATTATTAGCTTATAAAGTAGGCATTAGAAACATTGTGGTACAGTAGAAAGAGTTCTCAGTTCAGGGCTGAAGTCCTAGATTCATTACTAACTAGGTATGTGAGCTCAGATACTTACTAGATGTGTGACCTGAGGCAAGTCACTTAACCCTATTTGCCTCATCTGTAAAATGAGCTGGAGAAGAAAATGGTAAACCACTCCACCATCTTTGCCAAGAAAACCCCAGATGGGGTCATAAAGAGTCAGACAGAACTGAAATGACTGAACAACAACAACAAATATAAACTTGGACAAGTCAATTAACTTCTGCGATCCTCAGTACCTTCATTTTGTTTAAAAAAAAAGGAAAAAAAAAAGTGGAGATTTTAATAAGTAATATTCAAGCCTTTCTTCATGGGGCTCTTTGGAGGATCCAGTGAAATAATGTATATAAAGTACACTGTATTTACATCGAATTTGTTATTATTAGTAATGTTATTCACTTAATTTCTTTGGGCTTCTGGTTCTTCATCTGAAAAATTATTGGAGTTGGACCAGATGATTTCTAAGGTTTCTTCCCACTCTAAATATTCTCTTTATTCTTATCTCCCAATACAGGTGTTTTGAAGGGGTTCCACTGTACATGTGTAACAAGTATCCCACTCAGTGCTGGAATTACACTGCTGTTTGATTTTGGTGTTTGAGCTTAGTAACAGATCATTTAATTTAATTAAGCAACAGAGCATTTAATCAAAACAAAATGGCAAAGTGAATAGCACAGAAAGTCAAGTAATAGAATCATTCCTAAGTTTCTCACCCCTTCATAAATGAATGCATACACAGATCCCCATACCCAAGAAACTCATTGTCTATAGGGGTTCTTAACCTAGGATTTCTTAAATTGTCTTTAAAGAAATATTTTGATATGCATACATATTTCAATGTAATATTTTTTTAAATTCTATATATTATATGAATTTAAAAGCATTATTCTGAAAAGGACTTCATAGGATTGATCCAAAAACCAAAGGAGTTCATGACACAAAACAGAACCCCTAGTCTAGAATTACAAAAAATTTTTTTTTCATTGCTTCTCAAGCTGAGTTCTCAAGATTCCATCTCCCAGACACCAGCTACGTCTCAATGATTCTTGACTCCACCTCACAGGGAAGGTCCTTGGCCTCCTTATACATTTCTTTAGCACTTCACGGTTGCAATAAGATTTAGCATCCCCATCCATTATTATAATAATTAAATAACAATGATATACTGGATTTATTTTTTAAGGACCTTTCCTTCCCACAACACAAAGCTTCCATTTTAGTATAAAATGCACTAAGTGTACTTAATCTGGGTGCTATTCTTGACTGCCGCTAGCTAACTGTATAACATCTGGCAAGTTGTTTAGTCTCTCTGGGTTTTGGTTTCCTCTTTTATAAAATGAAAGTATTATACTAAATGATCACTAAAATCTTTACTAGTTCTAACATGCTAGCAAGTCTATGAAAAAAAAAATGATTAATTTACCATGCTTAAAGAAGAGGAAGGGATCCAGAATTTAACATATTACTATTTGGTCCCTAAAGACTATAGATCCAAAATGGTCTGGTAAATAAAGGTTTAATGTATTTGGTTCATGTAGATAAATAAATGAAACTCATTGTAAAGGGTGTATCAGAGTATTATCAAAAGCTTTCAAGTTTGTAGAGAAATAAGACTTGCAAGTTGAATCTGAATGATTCTGATTCTGGTTTTAATATACTAACACTTAGCTAAAATTTTACTATTCCAAAAAAAAAATTAGTTTTGATTCGACTAAAACAAGCTTGAAGACATGCTCTAGGGATTGGCTATTCTGCTATTAAATTCTGTAACAATGATGCCCAATTGAGCAATATGTATTTTGGCTCCAGTAGAAGCTAGAATCAGTTAATGACTAAATGTTCCAATTACATTGAGGCTAAAAGCAATTCAAGATTTGGTAATAGGATTTCAAACCTTTTACCTGAATGTGGTGAACTGAGGTTGGATATTTCATCAGTTTTATGGGGAATGACCCTCCATTTTTTTCTTAAAAGGTGCTTTGACACCTACAGGAATGAATTGTAAACTCGTTGGGTTGCAGACACTAGACATTGGATTGATTCCAGTCTTGGCTCTTCCACTAACTAGTTGCATAAACTTCAACAAATAACTTCATCTCTGTGGGCCTTAGTCTCCTCATGTACAGAATGAGAGACTTGGACTAGGTGTTCCTTATGGTCTCTTAGAATTCATGATGCTATGACCATAAGAAGGAAAAATGATTTTTGTACTATACAGTCCTCTGTGGTGATTATTCTTTATTCCAAACCTTAGAAGTAGATCAAGTGAGTAATGTTCTCTATGGATCATTATTTTATAGATAAAAAAAAAATGAGAGCCAGAAACTTTAGCTTTCCAAGTCACACAGCAAATATATTTCCAAGTTGGAATTGTGAGTCTCAGCCCTTGTCAGTGAGAGACCTTACCTAGTTACACATAACTGAAATGTGTCTGAAATTTAATAGGCAAAGTAATGATGAAATCCATTTATGTTTATTGTTTTTGACTAAAATCCCAAAGCCAGTGTCAGTACAAACATGGAACCCATGTACAGAGGAACAGTGTTCCAAAACCACTACCAGCAAATTCCACCAAATTACATCCTGAATTCTTCCACCTCCGCCAACATTGAAAAGCCAGAATGTGTAATGTTTCAGAAAGAGTTTGAAGGAACATGACAAGTGTTGTTGAAATATTATTTACCATATATAGCTCCAGAGCACTGACAGATTGTATTATTTATAACATGTTATCATGTAAGATTCACTTCTGAAGCCATGTGGCAATATCTGACTGAACTCAGCATGGAGGAATGAGGAGAGATTGGCAACTTCCCCTTGCTAGATTAAGGACAAAATTTCTCCAAACTTTTATGTAAATAGTCACCAATCAGAAATGATCCAATGATTAAAAAAAAATTGGTAATATATAACCTGTTCTAGTGCTTTGAGAAAGTGCTCAATGTTTTGCTCCCTTTCTTGCATATTTCTTTCTACCTTTTCTCTCCGTTGTCCTGGATCAATGCTCAAGGAAATTCCATTTTGAATATCCTCTCAAAGCCAAGTGTACTATTTATCAAGGGTGACATAGAGGGGCAGCTTGACCTCATTCTCTCCTAAGACAGGTAAATACTTTGATGACCAAAGATGATTTTAATAATTCATTATACATGTAGATATATGATGATAGTATGTTATTTAATACATTCACTTATCTTTAACAGAATATTAAGTAGTTAGCATATATGTTCATTCTGATAATTCCTATAAACATATATGTTCTTATAAAAACATGTTTAATAGGGGGAAATACTTTAATAGGGGGAAAATCTCAACTTCTTACTTATCTTCTGATATCTAAGAAATATTGAATAATAAGCAGCAAATATTTCCACCAGTAATGCTTTGTTCCTCCTTCCCTAGAACTAGGTACAGTTTTGAAGTAGGTTTGTATTGGTATGGGCAGAATAAGCCCTAGAGAACTACCTACTTTCACCCAATTGAAAAGTGAAGACTGGAAGCTCCATTAGCCAGTACTAAAGAAGACCTAAGGAGGGGCGGAGCCAAAATGGCAGAGTAAAAGCAGTGACTTGCTTGAACTCTCCCCCAAACTGCTCCAAATACCTGTAAAAAATGACTCTAAATAAATTCTAAAGCAGCGGAGTCCACAAAAAGACAGAGTGAAACAAATTTACAGGCCAAGACAGCCTGGATGGTTGATCAGAAAGGTATGTCGTGCAGTGCAGGTGGAGGAGCGCAGTTTGGCATGGGCGAGCAGGCAAAACAGGCCTCAGTGAACCTAGAGCAGGCCTCAGAGGACTGAATCACAGGCAGCTGTGGTGGTTTCAAGACTTCTCAACCCACAAACGCCAAAGACAACTTAGAAGGTCAGTGGAAAAAGTCTGTGACTGTGGTGAGAGAGAAGCGCGGTTCCAGCCCCAGTCCCTGAGCGTGGCGCTGGGACGGTGGCTGCATGGATCTCTCTGCTGCTGCAGGATTCTCTTGCTTTGCCTGTACTTGGATCTGGGTCACAGTTCTGGGTGGCAATCCTGGGGTGAGGAGGAGGGCTGGTGCGGTGGAACTTGTAGTGATGGTGCAGAGAAAATCCTCCTCACAGTTCCAAGGCAGAAAAGAGAGCTTGTGGTCACTCACAGACCAAAGCCCAGGCCAGGAAAGGAGTAAACACCTTGCCCCTTATGATACCACCTTGGAAGAACTGAAAATTTACAGGTCCCTAGAGATACCTCTGAAAACACCTGCACAAAACCCCTGAAGCCTGGGACAGTATATCTTCCACACTGGAAGCAGACCCCTACCTTAACAAAGAGTTTATAACTCAAGTAATTGGCTGGGATCATGAACAAACAACAAAGGCACAAAAACAATCAGACCGTAGAATCTTTTTTTTGGTAACAAAGAAGATCAAAACATACAGCCAGAAGACAAAAAAGTCAAAGCTCCTACATCCAAAGCCTCCAAGAAAAATATGAATCAGTCCCAGGCCATGGAAGAGCTTAAAAAGGAGTTTGAGAAACAAGTAAGAGAGGGCAGCTAGGTGGCACAGATAGAGCACTGGCCCTGAAGTCAGGAGGACCTGAGTTCAAATCCGGCCTCAGAACAAACACTTGACACTTACTAGTTGTGACTGTGGGCAAGTCACTTAATCCCAATTGCCTAATTTAAAAAAAAAAGAGAGAGAGAGAAACAAGTAATACAAGTAGAGGAAAAACTGGGAAACAAGTCAACAGCTTGCTAAAGGAGACCCAAAAAATACTGAAAAAAATAAAGAAGAGCTAAGTTTGATATGTGCACATGGTTGTGGTGGTGGTGGTGGTGGTGGTTGTTGTTGATGATGATAATGATGATAACTGTAATGGTGAAGTGTAGAGAGAGGGCGGGCAACTAGGTAGCACAGTGGCTGGAGAGCTAGTCCCGGAGTCAGGAAGACCTGAGCACAAACCCAGATTCAAATAGCTACTAGCTGTGTAACCTAGACAAGTCACTTAACCTCTGTTTCTCTCAAGTTCCTTATCTGGAAAATGGACTAGCAATTCCCAAAGACTCATAGAATGTTGGAGCTAGAAGGAACCCTGGAAGTCATGTAGCCCGACAGCCATTTTAAAGATGAGAAAACTTGGGCCGTAAGTAGTTAAGTTCCTAATGTGCCATAGTCAGTTATTAGAGGATTAGGACTAGAATTAAACTATTCTAATTTCCGGTCCAGGGTTTTTTCTAATAAACCATAGTTTCTCTACCTTATAAGCTCTAATTGGAGACAGTGGAAAGTAGATAGTGGAGAACTCCTCCCAGATCCTCCATTTAAGAAGAGTGTCCAGGTCAGCCATATCATCATTTCCTACCTGGTTCCACTCCTCTGTATATCATTCTTCTTCATCTTTCCCTCTTTTCAGATGCTTTTCATGTGCCTACTAGGTTGTGAGATTCTAAAGGGCAGGGTGTACCTTTTGCCTTTGGTTTTTATCCTCAGCATTTAGCACAGTGCCTGGCACATAACATGTGCTTAATAAATGGTTATTGATAGACTGTCCCAACAGTTTTTGTCTAATAGTGAGTTCCTACCTCAGTAACTATGGTGTTTGGATTTATCAAACACTAGGCTTGTTTATGTTTGCTTATTTATATGGTGTACTAAATCTGTTCCTACCCCCTTCCTATTAATTATAATGAGACTTTTTAAAAAGTAGGAAACAAAAGGGATGGTATATATGAATTATAGTGTATTTTGATCTTTTGAAATTGTTTATTCAGATGCCAAAAATGTTTGAAAATCAATTCTTGTGAGGTTCACGGGATCAAAATTTATATTGCTTCAGGCAGAGCACCTTCGAATAGAATGTGAGGTCTTAGTCTATACCTAATTGTTTTAAATGTCACCCTCTTCTGTAAAAGAGCTTTTATTGATTTGCATTTAAAAAAATAGACATTAATGTACAATCATTTTTATATCTTAAAATAGTAAGCACTTTTTATTAAAACATATAGTAGCAGCAGAAGTTACCTAATTGTCAAAAGATCTGTTTATATAAAAGGACAAGTAGAAGAAGCTATGGAAGCTACGACAACTTAGGCTAATATAAATAAATAAATGGGACAGATATAAATAAGTAGACCAGATCTTTAAAAAGCCAATGAAGTTAGCCACTTAAATGTTTTCACCCAGTATCAAAAAAATATACAATTCTCTACTTGTTATATTGGAGGACAAACAACTATTAAATCAATTTTTTTTTGTTTTAAAAAAATTGTTTGAGAATCCATGATTTTTTTTCTAATTCCTGACAACTATATCTCTCTACTCCTTGCCACTTACAGATATAAATAAAAGTTAATTCATCACTATCTAGTTTCATTATATTTCTACTTTGGAGGTGTTTATATATAATTAGTTTAGTTGTTTGGAGAAGTAGAACATGTTGCCAGTGAAATTGACCTTGAAATTTCAATTCTTTTGTGAGATTTAGTTTTGAGTTTCTCCACAAACATCTCTATCAGAAAATAAGAAAACAAATGTTGAGGTATATTTTTTGATAATGGTAATCACACAAAACCATCACATATGATTGACAGCACACTTTTGAAAATATTATCTCTTATTCGATCAAAGAATAGCATGCTTTGCATCTTACGGAAGGAAGGAATCGGATGGCAGGGTCATGAAACTAAAGAGCCTATGCTAAGTTGTCTCCTACAATTCTATTGCTAGTTTTAAAATATTATTTCTATTACCCAGACAATTTCATGGAAATAGTTGCAGTGTAGCTATAATTTCAGTGTCAGTCATCATTCAATTTCTCAAAATGAGCCACGATTAGATTGTAGGCCATCAGGATTCAGGTACTTCTTCAGAATGTACAAATTCAGACTAATGAAAGGGGAGGCCAAGCTGAAGTACTAAAAAGTCTGAAACACAAAACATTTTGGAAGGAATGTAATTTTATTTTTTGATAATATATGGTACTAAGAACTAAACTAAAAAAGAAATATTCCTGAAGGATCTTATGATTTGGAAAGAATGTATCACAGCATCAGCCTGAGAACTGACCTTTGCTTTTGTTGCAATTAATTCTGTTAAATTTTATAAACATTAAACTAGAACCTACTAAGTACAAAGTACTGTGACAGGTGGCATGGGGGGTTTGAGAAAGTAAGATGTAGGTTGGTATGGTGGAAAATGGACTCATCTTTAAGTTAGGATGAAAGCAAGGTGAAGGGACCAGAGGTGCAGATGGAGACAGATTTTCAGATATGACCAATGTATTGGTTTGACTACACTTGTTTGATAATAGTGAGAATTTTTATTAGAAAGGAGGTTAGTTAGTGGGAAGTAACCAATATCATGGGGAAAAATAAGGGAAAAGGCATCAATAAAACATTAAAACTTTTAAAAACACAGAAAAAACCAAAAAGTTTAGAAAGAGACTGAGAGGTCAATTTTGTTTATAATCTTGTTAAATTTAATATATACTTTTTTTAAACCATGTAAAAGAAATGCATAGTTTCACATTTTTTATTCTTTGTATAATGAAATTTTTGTATTTGTTAATGATTAAATTCATAACAAAAGAATACTAAAGATAACATTTAAACTAGGAGATATCTGTTTGAATACTTCCTGACACTTGCTCGGTAACTGTGGACATCATTCAACATCTTAGAGTCTCATTTCCTTATCTGTCAAATTGTGACAACGATGCCTATAGTATCTACTTTGCAAGGTTGTTTTGAGGATCAAATGAGACAATATAGTTCAGAAAGGACTTTGCCAACTCTAATGGACTATATAAATTTCAGCTCTTTTATTTATTCAGGATATAGACCTTACTTTCATAAAGATCATTGATTCAGAGGTGAACAGGACCTGCAAGTTTACCTGGTCCACCCTCATGGGGAAACTGAGGCCCCAAAAGGTTAAGTGACTTGCTCAAGGTCATAAAGGTAGTATGTGGTAGAGCTGAGATTTGAACTTACATATCCACTAACTCCAAATCAATTTCACTTCCCTCTATTATTGTTCAGTCATTTCAGTCATGTTGGACTCTTTGTGACCCCATATGGGGTTTTCTTAGCAAGGATAGAGTGGTTTGCTATTTCTTCTCCA